TAATAATAATAATAGTAGTAGTAGTAGTAGTAGTAGTAGTAGTAGTAGTAGTAGTAGTAGTAGTAGTAGTAGTAGTAAATGTTTTATTAATATGAATTATTATTATTTCTAAAAAAGTGTAAGATTACTGGTTTCCCCCTCCTGAATGTTTGTCACCTCCATTTCAATGTTCTTCCCCCCTCAAAAATCTATTTGAAGCGCTTTGACTCCAACTCCTTGAAATTATTAGTCTTTTGCTTGAGCCAAAGTATAGGCTCGCTTTTTGGGTGCTTTTCCAGCTGAACCTAAAATAATCCTGTTTTCTGTGGGTCCACAGTATGTGGTCCAAAGTGTGCCCCCCCCGATATTTATTAATATAGGCTTTTGTTTCCAAATATTCTTTGTCACCAGATTACTCAAGGCACTGGGCAGGATGAAATAAAAACAACTTTAAAAAAAATTAAAATACCATTTTATAAGCAAGAGAAAATTGCAACTATACAATAGCACAATAAAACATACAATACAAATGTCATGTCGTTTAGATATTTTGGCATATAAATATTCAATACTCCTGTTCCCTGAACAACGGCCATGGTGGTTTAGGATAATGGAAGCTACAGCTCCAAGCTTCTGGACAGCACAACTCCAGGGAACACTGAATTAAAGCTTCTAATTTAAAACATCCAGCCACCTTCCTCCCCTGAAATAAAATTCCCCAAAGAACTCACTTCAGTGTGAGGAAAAAAGGTGAGGGATGAATCTCCCTCCTTTACTCTGCCACCAAGCAAGTCTCTCTCTTTTGTCACCACAAGCTGATGAGAAAGATGAGAGCAAACAAAGACCTGGAGTGGATGCATAGGAACCTCTGCCACTATTGATTTTTGTTAACCTCACTAGCCACTTTTTGCAACCTGAGAATCAGGTAGAATTTCACAAGTTTTCTCAGTGTTTCTGTTTGCATTTAGAATGTTGTGGAAGAGGGTGAGAGAATCAAACCCCATCCCACTCCAAATAGCCAAGGTTACATGCCTGCTGCCCTTTAGGCAAGACGAGACATGACACCTATAGCTGCTTGGGATGCTGCGGCCACCCATCAGATTCAATTTATTGCTCTGCTGGGATGAACAAGTGTCCTAGCTCCTCCTTCAGTCAAATCCTATCCAATTTAATTTTTCTCTGGCAAGAAATTAGATATGGTTGGATGGAGAAATGGTGCTTAAACTGGCGCAAGCGTGCAACAAACAACCTCTTGTCTTTCTCAGCCACAACAAAATGGCTTGTCCACAGTTGTGGTATGGTATACGGGGCTGGGGACGGCAGTGTCGCTTTGTCGGTTTCACCACTTCCTCTCTGTTTCAATTCTTTGTACAAAAATCAAACAAAGGACAACAGGGCAATTATTAATCCCAGCAGTAGTACATAAAAATCAGCAATACACGTGTCTAGTAATGGACACCCCAGTTTTGTATAGATCAGTCTGTGCGACAAATTTTTAAAGGTGCTTATGTTAAGATCTCATGTTCATGGGCAGACATGTGCTAAATGCTGTAGAAATAAGCAGACTTGTTGCATTCATCCTTACTACTGACTGAGTATGTGTGTTGAAACGAGCTCTTTCCTTAGTCTCTCTCAGTATTCTGTGACTTGTTGCATTCATCCTTACTACTGACTATGTGCATTGAAACGAGCTCTTTCCTTAGTCCAGCTGTCTCTCTCAGTATTCTGTTTCTTTTTGCAGTTCTGCCAGTGCAAATACTTGAGTGGCACAATGACAGTTCTCTCATGGCTCCAACACATCTCCTGTGTGTGAGCAAAGTCTTGCGAACCCGGGGACAACATCATCACCACATCAGCCCCTTACAACGTGTGAAATGGCAAAGCCGCATCCTCTATGATTTGGATCCTTTAACTACTAGCTTGGAAGGAGGTGTGAGAAAAACAGTTTTTACAAATGCTCTCCAGGAGCACGAACAACACACACACCATCATCACCATTACCATCATCACCACCACACCACTTCTGGTTTCACTACTTATCTACTGGCATCTGCTTTTGCAGGGGATGCATAAACCTCATGTTACTTATCCAGAAATGGGTCCAAAGATTTGCATGCATTCAATATAAACACTTGTAAAATCTTCACTGCCAGTGTCACTGCCTCCCCCTTTCCCAAGGCCTAGAACTCATCTTGGGGCAAGGAGGGGTTGATCTTCCAAGTCCTCCTTAGGGTCCAATGGAGTGTCTCCCGTGAATGGGAACTGCCAATCCCAGGTTCCGCAGCCGAAATGTGGTGCCATTGCCAGCGATAGGAAATACTACTTTTGGGGACTACAACTCCCAGAATCCCATGTGGCCATGCTGGATGTGAGATTCTGAGACTTGTAGTCCAAAAAGTAACATTCCCATCTCTGACCATTTCTGCCCAAGTCCCTACGCCTGAAGGTTAATTTGTTCATGTCATGGCTTGCGCTTCAAGACCCGGATCTTCCAACAGCAGCATTGCAACTTGACTGTGAGGAAGGAATGCCTTTGCCTTTAACGGTTGCAAAGTTGAAGAAATGCTGGCAATTGCAAGGTCTTCTATCATTTTAGTTGTGAGGAAAGCTTTGCAAACACACCCAGCTAAACACAACTATGAAATACTGTGGGTTGTTGTCCACTCCCACTAGTAAATGAATCAGTATCTAGGAAAGAGGCCTTTTCACACACAGTCTGGGAACTTCCATATGAACAACACAACTACTTTCTGGCTGCATGGCACAGGTGCATAAACAAAACATTCACAAAAGCCGAGAATCCATCATAAAGGACTCAGTTTGGACCTCTGGAATCAGTGTTTACCTCTTGATCTTTGTCAAAGGGCTAATGATTTAAAGAAGTGTTTCCCAACCCCTTTCCACTCATGGCTCCCTTGACACATCCCAGTGCCTACCACACATCAAAAGGGTGCTGCCACTGCCTCTTCTCCTCCCACACAGGTGGGGATCCAGGGATAGAGATGCGGCTTACCCTGGTGTCTGTGCCTGGGCATGGGCAGGGCATTAGGCACAATCCTGTCCAGCACGCAAGGAAACTCACTGGCCAAGGAGAGGGAGAAGGAGGTGGTGGTGAGGGATGAAAGAATTCTGCAAGATCCTGGCTGGTTTTGGCAGCACCCCAGGACACCGCAGCGCATTGTTTGGGAACCACCGATTTAAGGCATTGTTGCTCCTTTGCAGGAATGGATATTCTTTGAAAACTTTACAGAAAGTACCTCCAAAAGATTGTTACTCATTGGCTGAAATCAGAATTAGAGTAGTCCCACTGAACTGGTGAGTCAACTCTTCCACTGATTTAAATGGGCCTACCCTAACTGTGACTTACTGTTGGATCCAAGCCGTTGTCACGGTGGCTCAGTCTTTTACTGACTTTATAATTACTTTAGCATTGCTTGTGTTTGCTGTAGCTGTTGGCAGTGCTGAGTATACATTTTCAGAAGTGAAACTTTCAAAGATCTACCTAAACAGCATCCTAGAGAGGAAGCACGCATTGTTGATTGTTCATGTTAAAATGGAAAGAATCAGAGAGAGAAGGAAAAAAAGCCTAAAGCATGCTCTTGATAAGCGGATGAACAAAAGACCTGCCAATCTCAGTCAGATATAAAGAGAAATTATTATCTTGCTCACAAAATGCTGGAACCTGAGGTCACCCAACGAAGTTGAATAGCTTTAGGTTCAGTTCACACAAAAGGAATAAAAGAAAACATCACACACAGTGCATGCAATTATATTCTGGAATTCACTGTCATTATTAAAAGAAATGCAAAATATGTGTTATAAATTAGAGATGTCACTAATTAATTTTTTTAAAGGATGCAGTAAATTCATGCAGAATCAATCATAGCTATACTGAGACTTCAGGTTTAGATTCATTGCATCTCTAGGTAACTGACATTGGGGAACAAACCCAGTGGATGTGTTGCATCTCTTATAGATCTATTTTTAATATATATAATGTGTGATAATTTGTACCATGGCAGATCTTCGAAACTTTTTCTTTCCTGAATCACTACCTCCAGATGTCCTCAGCCAACACAGCCAAAATCACTCAGCTAGCTTGGGAAAGCTGTGGCCTCAAAAGTAACTTCACAAACTTTCTCCCTGACTAACAAGAAACAACTGTTTTCTGAACATGCTGGACCAAGATTTCCCCCCGAGCTACTTAAAAACTATACAAATACTGAGAGTCAAGTATTCTTCTTTTGTCAGAAAAGATCCTTGTAATCACTTCTTGGCAAAAGTCAGTTCTTTAATTCTATTGAACTATTTCAATAATTGGAAACCTGCATTTTATACAACCAAATGCTGCAAAGAAGAATGTAATAATTTGCTGACAATGATTAATGACAGCAGCACATTCTGGCATATGAAATTACAACAGAATTGCAGTCGATGTGATGGGTTTGCCTAAAGCATCTAATTTTCTAAAGACATTCCACTCCAGGAGAACCGAATTCAGTGAGCTGATCTGCCCATGTAACCTTTGCATTTAATATTCAGAATGAATCCTCTATGACATAAACATTGTGACAGAACAATTGGTTTCTATGGGGTTACTATCACTCACCTTCTCTGCTGACTGTGCAGTTCCAAAAAAGATGGGAATAAAAGCTAACCAAATGATACAGGTGGTATACATAGTAAATCCAATTGGTTTTGCTTCATTGAAAGTCTCTGGAACTCCTCTTGTTTTAATGGCATAAACAGTGCATGTTACCATTAAGAGAATACTGTATCCAAGAGAACAAATGAGAGAGAGATCAGAGATGTCACATTTGAGAACCCCGCGGGCATTTTCAGGATCCACAGTCCTCTGCTCTCCATAGTCCACGATGATGTGTGGAGGATCAATACCAAACCAGATGAAGACTCCTATAAGCTGTACAGATATGAGGCTGAAGGTTATTACCAGCTGGGAAGCTGGGCTGATGAATTTGGGAGCAGTGACGGATTTTTTCCCTTGCTCGAATATTCGATGGATGCGGTTTGTTTTAGTGAGCAAGGCTGCGTAACTGAAGCACATGCCGAGCCCTAAAAAGATCCGTCGGAAGGAACAGATGGCAGTGTCTGGAGTTGCAATCATTAAAAAGGTGATCGAGTAGCAGAGGAAAATTCCAGTCAGGAGGACGTAGCTCAGCTCGCGCCCCGAGGCCCGGACGATGGGCGTATCGTTATGGCGCACAAAGGTCACAATGACAAAGGTGGTCGCGATGATCCCAAGGATTGCGATGAAGACAGGCACAATCGCCCACGGGGAATGCCACTCCAGCTTGATGATGGGGATTAGATGGCAGTCGGTGCGGTTGGCATTGGGTCTCTTGTCGAATGGGCACATCTCACAAGTGACCTCATCCACTTGGTAATGGTAGCCTTCACAGCGCTCACAGTGCCAACAGCATGGCACTCCCTTGACCATTTTCTTCCTTTCCCCAGGCTTGCATGGCAAACTACAGACTGATGTGGGATGAGTCCGTTCTTTGTTATGCCACTGCATGTCTTCTACCTGTGGTTATACATGTTAAGAAAAAAATAATAATGAGGCTTTCATTTTTCCCCCTATTCATAATACAGGTACTCTAATCCAGGATACAGGCTTTTTTTAAAAAAATCACCCTCTGCTGACAGCACAAATGCCCTTTACCTGGATAAAAAACCTGTTTTTCTCCTATATTGACTTTATGAAACTGTTAAATGATTGTGCCCAATAAATCATTTGTGCCATGCCTTGATGAGTGTCATTAGTTTCTATTTACCTCTTTACTGCTGACCAAATTGATGTCTGTAAAAAAGATTTATCAACTCCAGACTAGTTTTGAAGCAAGTTGTCCTATGAGAAGGAGTTTACACATACAAAGACAGTTCTCAAACATTTAATTAGAAAATAATGGTATGTAGGTTGGGAATTAACTTCTCTCACAGTATGAGGACGAGGTAAAACACTTCCTGCAGTGAGCAGAGACTGCAAAAAAATAAATAGCTTCATCTTATTTTAAAAATAAAACCATGAAACAAACTGTCTCACACATACACCTTTCTGATTTGTCTCAGAATAAACCAGTACCAGTTCACTGCTGCTAAAATTCTTCAGGAATTAGCATACATGGCACAATTACTTACTGCCTTAGCATAACAGCTCTTTTGAATTTCATGCACAGCAGTTTCTGTTCTACATATCTGCTGAACAATGGTTTCAGTCTATTTTCTGGGGATCGCCACGCTTCCCTGGTAGTGAAGACCAGAAAGGATTTTGAAGAGCTCCAGAAGGATCTCTCCAAACTGGGAGAATGGGCGGGAAAATGGCAAATGTGTTTCAATATATAGGAAAATGTAAAGTAATGCACATTGGGGCAAAACATACAAACTTTAGGTATCAGATAATGGATTCTGAGCTGTCTGTGATGGATCAGGAAAGATGACAGCTCAATGAAAGTTTCAACCCGATGTGCAGCAGCAGTGATGATTGGGCTGGGGCACCTCCCTTATGAGGAAAAGCTGCAGTGTTTGGGGCTCTTTAGTCTAGAGAAAAGGCGCCTGACGGGGGACATGATTAGACAGGCCTTTGGCCTAATCCAGCAGGGCTCTTCTTATGCTCTTAAGCTTACTGGGAGGCCTATCATACAGAAAACTACTGGAGAACCAGTACAGTGTGCTAGTTGGAGCAGACTTGCCCAATCTAGGTACAAACAGGTTCTAACAGTTCATGTTAGCTAGATCTGATGGGAGTTCAAATTAAAAGCATTTGGAAGAAATTTGTTTGGAAGAAGTTGCATTAGAATGTCAAACTAGCATGGTGAAGAACTGAGTTTCAATCCCTGCAAAGCAGAACACTTCACTTACAATGCTCACCTTGGGGCAGTGAATTAATTCTGATTGGGTTGTTGTCATGATAAAATGGGACCATGAAGTGCAGTATAGAGAAAAAGTGGCAAATAAATGTAATAGATACGGCCAATATCTTCTCTTAAACAGCTTGCTCTCTTGTTACCAATCTCCTGCAACACATACACAAAACAATGTATACCTTCTAGAGGGCATTTGTGTTTTGCTTTAGACAATAATTCCAAGACCCTATTCTAGAATCCCTTCTATATGCTGTAGCACCACCCATGCGTTCTCTGCAGACAATTAATTACAAACTTTTGTTTGTTTAGTAACTGATTCTTAAATTTTTTTATTGAGTTGGTTTAAAATAAATCATGCTACTTTTATGTGTAATGAGATATAACCCTTCTCTTAGATCTGTCTTAGATCACCAGGGATACTACAAGGAGGAAAATGTGTACAAGAGAACATCTCAATGTCAGGGAAACATAAAGTTCCTTGATGTTGAATAGACAACAGTTTTTGTCTGTTTTTTTTTTAAAATCCAAAACTGCACTAAAACTTTACACATGCTTGGTCAGTCCTGCTTTCAGCATGACTTAACTCCCATGTAATGTTGCGTGCATTTGACTGCAGGCTGAAATTGTCCAGCTATCTGGAACAAAATACCTCACCAAAGGCTACAGTCCTCTGAACTTTTAGCTAATATACTCCATGGACACTTCCTTCTGCCAAAGGCACATCCCTATGGGACGGATGATTACTCAATTAATTATTACACTGTTACTATGAAACTATGAAAATGCATAAGGAGGGGAAAGAAGCTGCCCTCCTTTCCAGGCAGTGCATACCAGTATTTCTAATGTGCATGAAGGAGACTTCTTTTCCCAAAGCACATGGCTTCTGACTTGTTTTGATTCCACTGAATCATGGCACAGCTACATTTTCTATGACATTCCAGGACAGCATTTTTTTTCAATTCAAGAGGCAAAATATTTCAGGAGTTCTGTTTGTCTGGGTTCAGTTTCACAATATCTAAAAGCGGGAAGAGAGATACTGAATTCTAGGCCATTCCATCCATTGTTCTGCTATCGCACTGAATAATACAGGCATGATATTCATTTGGTCTTCTACTAGGCAGTATTTCACAACATTTCACCCAACTATTGTCAGTACATTTCAGGGAAAAGATGCCTCTCAGAATGTTTACTGTTGTTAAATACACTTTGAAATGCCCCACAAGTTACACATTCCAGTGGCAGCAAAGGTAATAAATCCCCATCTTGAGAAGGTCAGTAGTAATGATTCATATAATAGTTTTCATCCCAGCGCCCCTGACAAATAAACTATGTAACACATAATTCATATTGTGACACCCTCCTGGTAGGAGTGCTGGAAAACATTCTGGGTGAACAAGATTGCTTCTAATTTTGGGAAGTGAACGGTTTCAACAGCCCTAGGCTGCTATGTCTTGGAAAGATTAAAGACAGAAATGTGGAGTTTTTATGTCTCAAATATGTGTGAATAGAATACAAGATATCTAAAGCTGGTAACTAAATTTAGAAAGGGGTATATGAATGGCCATATGTTCCAGTTATATACAATTCAGATGGCCATGTGAAGTCAAGGGCTCATAGGGATACATATGCCTCTCCTTACCTACCAGTTTTCAGTCAAAAAAGAAGTTACATTTTTTTTCTTCATAGCTCTGTTTAAAAAAGAGAGTGTGCCTTGATTTTTAGCATATTTGTAAACTAAACAGAGACTACACAGTACTGCTAGTGTGCAAAGGAGAGGAGACAGATGGTTGTGATTTTCTGTCTTTCCCTCAGCTTTGTCTCCTTTATAGTCTTTTTTGTAAAATGATGAGGCAGGCAGAAGTAGTACCACTGCAGCAACCATTGTGTTGATGACAAAGCCTAGAGGGTTGGCATTTCACCCTGTACTGTGGGCACTCTTACCTGCACTACATCTGTGAAAGCAGGGGAAAGTAACTCTATTGGAGTACAACTCCCAAACATTTCCAAGCTCTGCATGAACTGGGTCACTAACAGAGATGTACTTCTATCCAATATCTATTCAACTTTCCTCACCGATAAATATCTTCCCAGAGCAAATGCCAGCTTTGAGGACCCTAATATGGAATGGGACATGTTTCAGGTGAATAATGGATTGCAGCTCTACATACCTGCTACATAGTACAAAAATAAAAAAAACAGCCAGATGGGCTGATCAAATGATTCATGTCTGGGTGGGTCCTACTGAATAGCTGTAAAGTTTTGATGGACTGTTGCCATGTTACTCTAGAAATTTCAGTGATTTTCCAAAGTTTGGGACAGACATCTTCAAGCTTGTTGCTATTTCCTGTTTTGTGTCATATTTATATATTTATTTATTCTGTTAGCATCACTTGTTTAGAATTGTCAGGCACCAAGTGCCACGGGCCAGGTATTAGCCCTGAGAATCAAATACTTGTGTCTGTTTTCTGTGTCTCAGGCTTTGAACCCAAAATTTCAATGGAATATGACACTGCAAACCTGGCAGGCCTATATTTTGGGGTTCATTCTCATGCCTTCAAGCACTCTGCATGCTCTAGGACTGCTGCTCTTCTGGAGCTTGTGCTAGCCTTTATGTTTATCGTATCTGCCACACACACATCATTTTGCAATTGTTACTGAAAGCTCCACCCCCAAGGGTTTAGTCTCTATGATAAAACAAGTACTTGTCTCTAGGTCTCATGTATTATCCTGAACTATGAGGGAATGCAGTGCAGCTCATTGAGCAACTCTAAAAAGGACCAAATAAACTATAAAATGACTCTTTAAAAATGTGTTCCCAATTGTATTAAGACAGGTATGCCAGAATGTTCTTGGTATTTGGCTTTCTCATAGCTTGCAAAGGGATACAGTATTAATAACGACTTTAGCCTTGCTTTATAATTTGCTCTAATTTATAGCCCTTGTCCACCAAATGTAAAACGTGAACCATATGCCAATTAATGAGAAGAATAAATGGGCCAACACAGAACTGAATTAAGAATACAGTTTGATTTTTAATGGCAATACTGATAATTTGCCTTGTGAAAAATGAACCAATAAGAAGGCATAAAATCAACATATCAAATACAAAGCTTCTTTTACCGTCTTACTTTTACCTTCTGAGTTCCTTCTGAAGGAGGTGGCTCTGTCAGTTGAAGAAGGAAGGAATAGATAGAGGATGGTACTTTGGTATTCAGAAACAAAAAAATTTAAAAATGTTTGTGTCACCTTAAAGGCTAACTGCTATATTTTAATGTGAGCTTTCATGGATCAAGTTCACTTCTTCAGACATAAGAGTGAAACATTTTTTCAGACTTCTTCCCCCCTCTTTCCCCCATTTGTTCAACCTTTCTTTCACATTTTGTCACATTGCACAGGAAATATTTCACCCAATAGCACTGTGAGGGATGTTATGAGAAGCAAATTATAACATCTAGGAAAGTGGGAATTTTGAATCTCAAAAAGGATGTTGATTGGTTGGAACCCAGTGAGGAGGGGTGCTGTTTCTTTGTTTCAGTCATTCCTTATGAATGTGAAAGCTCCTCTGTCCTTAATCTTGGGTTGTGCTGCCACTCTGGATACCTGCCTTTGTACCTGCATGTTGGATCCTTTCCTTTGTTGTTTTTTATTATTTATCTTGGGG